AACACAGATCAGACAGTCCGCTCACGTTCACTCTTGTTCTCTTCCGATCCCACATTAAGCTACTGCTAAACGGCCGATCGCAACCATCTCTAGATTTCCTCTTCATCCCAGTGTCCCCACAATTCCTCGTGCCATAATAGCCTGTTTGTGTCAAATGGCAGCGAACTCTTGTGTTCGGTAGTTGGCCTCGTCCAACTTCCCACCCACCCACATGCTGCAATCGTTTGTGATAGCACCATTCAAGTCATATTCAGGTGCGTGGGTGCATGCAACACACCTGATTGTGATGAGTCATGTGTTAATCCACGCTTATGTGGGGGCATCAGACGAAAAGTGCGATGACAGTGTTCTCCATTTTATTTCGGCTAAAAACTCAGCTCAGACGGCTTGCCTTAGAACAGCGGATTGCGAGATACCATAGTAAAGATATAACATTCACCTACAGAAAACGTAAGCCGTAAATTAATGGAAAAGTAGATAACAATTAAGGAGGACCGCCGCTGCACAAAAATCTTTATAGAAATCTACATTTGTCTGGAATGAATTGCACTGGTGATACTGCATTCTACTTTCGAAAGACATTCCCCTACAATTTGCTTCTGCTTCTGTTTAGGCTGGTCAGATCTGAACCCCTTCAGTCACCTCGAAAGCCCTTGCCTCAAATTATCTCTTTGGGAAACCCCGAATTTCCAGAGTTTACAGGAAATATGTATTTTTACCTCCCTTGTTGATGGCCGGTTATTTGTGCCGATTGATCAGGCAGTCTTGGTGCAGCAGTGATATTTCACTTGGTTATCATGCCAGCATGATCCTCGTGGGAGCTGGACAGGCTTAGTCCTCTTTGAATGTAATTCGTGTTTGTTCACCAGCTCTGATGTCCGTCGACTGGCTTTAATGCCGTTCAGGAACAGCTTTAGTGCTTCTTTGAAAAAAGCACGTTAAAAGTTCTTCAATAGTTCACGATCAGTTTCGTCCTTCTTGAGGCATATCAAACAGGCACCATCCCCGAATTGCCGTCAAACTTATTTCCTGCGTGAAAATCAAATTATAGCGATTGGCGAAATACATTTTCTAGATTAAGTCGGTACACCTTCTTTCTGGTGAGATTTTGGGGTTTCCCATCATCTGACCCATACGAGCAAAGGTTCACCAGCATACTCAAACAACGCAAGGGGAAAAAGGGAAATAGATGGCAAGCGAGGGTACCGTGAAGTGGACAGGTCACATGGAGTGAGTCGGGTAGGTCTGACTTGAAGGTCGTCAGAAAGTCAACCATCTAAAAATGGAACCGGCTATCTAAAAAAAATGGTCATAATCAGAGGTCACCAATCCACCGCAATATAAGCACAAACTCAGCAAAACGACACGATAAACTCCTAACTTACTACGCATACGTGATATCCACTCAGTTGGTGACGAACTGTTTGTAACGAAATTGCTCAGCCGGATTTGAAGAATAAAGGCGATAGAATTGGCTACCCGGGTGATGGTATGCAAGTAGTACAGCAACCGAAGTTTGACGAAGATTCACGTTTTGAAGATGACCTTTTATAATGGGGTTCCTTTGTTCCAGTCAGCACACCATTTATCTTGTGTAAATTGGAGATTAGAATACTGGTGAGAAGTGGTAAACAGAACTATGTATCAGCATTTTACTGTATTGTTTCCCCATTTTGTATCTTTTAGCTCTGGTGTATCATTCCGAACGGTCCATATCGTGAACGCATCGACTCAATCAGTTTTTTTATTTGCCCATGATTGAACTGGCTCACCCTAGCGGATGACTTGGTTCCTTCCTCATGATTGATTAGATCTGGGCAGCGCTTCTGTGCCCTCACACACTTTTGCGTCTGGTGTGTTTTGATTGCGCCAGAATGACGTCATCAGCGCAGAAGAAGGTGCACGTGGTTGTATAACGAACATCAAAGCACCGAGACAGAAATCTAACCTTATCAGTAATTTCCTTCAGAAAAATCGAATATTGTACGCACCAAAAGAGGAGGTGGCTCACGTGCAGCATATTCAGTTGGAAGAAATCATAAACGAAAGATTCAGCTGGGATTTGGCTGAGTGTTCCGTTAAGATCAGATTGCTGTGCAAGTTAGTGTTGTTCGTGTATTTGGTACGAGCTGGATTCAAGTAGAACATGAGGTTGGCGGAAACTCAGGGATCGCTCCTACCTAATGACCTCCCCAAAAGGATGAATCTGGGCGTTCAAAATTTCCTTCAGGAAATCTAACCTGCTTGCTGACAACCCACTGGGTAAACCATCGTCTAGTTTGATGACAAAGCTCTAAATTTACGCATCTGCCAAGTTTATCAACAAAGACGGCAGTTATTGCCAATACTGACGTCCATAAGCACCACTGGGTTAGATATATTTATCCGCATTGGGACGATGCAACAGAATCACCCAACAGAAAACAAACTGATGCAATCGATCTTCGTCATCCGTAACTTTCATCTCGCATGCTCAAAAGCCTATGGTCGTGGAATGCGAGCAGTAGACAAGTCATAAAGTTCGCGAGGATATCACTGTTGTTCATGCATCCTATCATCAGGAGTCGAGAGCTGTGTGTGTGCGTGTGTCAGCGTGTGCGTCTGCTGTACATGTGTATGTGCGTGCGTGTGTGATGCAACCACCTGCGGGAGCATTCAGTCCCAGAAAATATTTTTTTTCTCAATCCACATAAAAGACATCGAAATAACAGTCCTTTAGGTCAAACAATCGTATACACATCACTAGACTCTGGAATTAATTAACGTACCAGGTGCAATGAGCAGAATGTCTTATTCATTCAGTGGGTGTAGCAGTATATATCAAAAACAAATTGTTTGCATTGTTCCTTGTGAAGATGCTTAGGTCTCGTAGGTGCACGTATGCACACACATCTCCATAGTTTGTCCATGCTACCTGAAGTCACAGATTTCCTTATTTATATGGTAGATATCCATCACTTGCAAACTGGGTTTTTATACAAGATAACCGAAAAAATGCCTGCGTATGAGGCTGGTAGCTGGGAAGTAACATATATACATCGTTTTTGATAGATCTGTCGTGTCTTTTTCATAACTAGCCAACTGTGTAGACGTACCACTAGCGAACGTTGGATTAGAGCGAAGCGGAAACACATGCCTGGTAGGATAACGTTCAATGCTGAACGCGGTCCGCATCTGCTTCATTATGGTTTATCATTGGGTTACCATTCATAGCAAACCGTCCTGTTGATATTATGCGTGATGACAGCGAAACTTGTGACTAAATTGTACACCTTGATTTTGGCTGGTCGTTCGCTTCATATAGCTACCGATTAGCATCTGAATGCTTAGAGTTTGTCTAACACAGGTAGACTATCGTGAAACTGAAGAGGTATTACATGGGAACTATTACTGCCAATGCATGCCCCCAAAGTAAGGGTTGACTGGAAAATATTCAGTAGTCTACATAGCAGTAGATGTCATCTAAGTGAGATAACACCTATTAGTAGGGTACTAACTGTCTCTACATACAAGGATCAGCAATTTGGTTTTGAAAACTTGCATTATTGAGTGGCTCGGTATGCTCCCACGGTGGACTCTCTCTCCCTCTCTCTGATGCTGAATATATGCAGAACTTTAAAGCTGAGATAATAACATAAGGCTGGCGGAAACCCGTGGACTGCGCCCACCTGATGAGCCCCAAAAAGGGCTAAACCCGTCGTGGGCTGTCGACAGATTTTCAGCAACCTTATGAGTAGTACATCACAAAGAAATCCAAATTATACTTTAGTTCCCGATACATCTATAGGTCACTAACCGTGGTGGACATGTTACTGCACTGAGCACGGAGATGCCTAACAAGGACGTGTTATACATCCTCAAAGCTATGAATCTTTCCGCATCCTCATAAAGGGGCGCCGGGGTTCAACAACTGGTTAGTCATTTGTTCAGTATGTAGAATTTACCTCTGGTCCGTGCACAACCATAAAAACTCAATCAAGTAGTTTCAAATTTGTTGGTTTCCGTGTGAAGTTCTGGTGTGGACGAAAGCAATGAGTAATCAGACTGCAGTCCTTTCCGAATGTCTTGATTCACTTGGATACACTGCTAGGGCCTTCACATAGGTGAATCATCGTCAGTGTTAATAGCATGGTGAACACCAGTCGAACACCACAGCATTGCTATGATTATTACAACACAAAACGAAAAAAATGAATAAGCAATCAATAGGCTGTATGTTGGTCCAACAACGCCTCTTGAGGTTCCACATAGTGATATTCAGACAGACGTGTGAAGATATCTCGATGCGAAGTTAATGTATGGTGTTGCTCCTAGACTCTGACCTGAGAGACAGTTTTTGATTTTTTTGTCGACATCTTTATATCAAAATGCAGACTGCTTTATGAAACAGGAATAACTGAAAGAAATTGACAGTATTGAACGCATTTCAAACATTAGAAAACCATACCTTGCAGTCTTCCGTATTGAGTGGAGGGGTCACGTGAATCTGATCCTGAAAAATTTGTCCTGCCAATCGCGCGCGGACTCTGTTTTTACATACCTACATACCCATTCGGCATGCTTAGTTCATCTTTGAAACTAGCATTGAAAAAGCCGCACTGGTCTAGGTTAACAAAATTCTCCTGATGCGGCTTATGTGATTGCATGTTTAAGCTAATTAATGCAATTCATCTATGGGATTTCCTGTTGCGTAACAACTCTCCAAACGAACCGACACTCGACATGGTTCCTAGTTAGCAACTAATTAGAAACTAGCATTGTCCCACCAACTTCTCCAAATATTGGAATTTAAAAAATTAGTCCTGCATTACTGTTTGTGAGAGGCTGCGAACAAGCACCTACAGATGTGTGCCCAGATTTCATCTCCCACAGCATCCCTGGCTAAGTAAGTCATTCTTCTCCTCCGTCCACACTTTGTGGGTTGTATGGGGTAACCAACCGGGGACTGGCATTTAATCTGGTTAGGTTTGCAGCGGATTTTGAAACCAGCCCAAACACCTTTTAAACGATAGATTTACTTCGCGCTCTTTGTCACGAAGTAGGTCAGCAGTAATTTCTCGATCAATGCTACTGTAATACCCATTACGATGGTGAACAAAAATGAAGTCTTGTTCGCTGAGCTGGGCAATTTGATTGCAAACGTTCCATCCCCAATCAAGGTGAAATCATCAGTGCGTTATTGGGGAGCGTAGTGGTGCGTAGCGGTGGGTTAGTGGTTGAGCACAACCAATCAAATTGCACTCAAATTGCCCAGCTAAGCAAACAAGACAACAACCATCTACGTTAAATGAGCTACCGACATTTTCCTCCATAGAAAAAAAAATGAAGTTTTCAATCAATTGGAAAATGTTTGGGACCGATTGGGAAGTCATCGTTTCAGAGGGGTTTGGTAAACAATCGGTGGATTTATTGCTGGGCAACGTTTCGCTTTTGACACAAAAGCTTCGTCAGGCCAAGTGAGTAAGTAAGTAGGTTGATTGGGTTTTAAGGCAGTCAGGGAACCAATCCGTGGGATTCCTTATGACTAGTGACGTGATCAGTGCTGGGTGTTCAGTCTGATGTCCCTGTTTGTTGATTAGTGGGGATGACTAAGCTTTACGATAGATTGGTTAGAGGAGGAGAGTTCGTCTTTATGATGAACCCGGATTTTTTTTCCTCCCTGCTTCTTCAGTCTAGGACACCTTAATGGAAAATTCCTCTTGGGGTCGTTCACAGATTTCGTTCACCTGTGTTCGTCCAAGGGTGCTGGGACAATTAGTTTGGGGATGCGGGTTGGGTGGTTAATCGGATCTAACGCTACTTGGATTTCTGTACTTTTAGACCCAGGAGATGTCGCTGATAACTGCACACCGCCTCGTGAGATCTCGGCTGATCTAAGACCGCTCTCCAAACGTTTGCAAGTTCTACCCCCTCTATTCTATTCACACTGGGACGCTTGGCGATTTCCACCGCCTCGGCCACCAGTCGCTGTGGTGTGAATCTTAAACCCCGTCTCAGGATGTCCACATTTTCTAAATCTATCCTATGCCCAGTGTCTAGAGCATGCCCTGCCATTGCTGAATCTTTGACTAACGCCTGGTATTCCTCTGCGTTTCTCGGTGGTTTGTTAATGGAACGCTTATGCTCACCGATTCTGGTGTGCAATTCCCTGGCTGTCTGACCTATATAAACCTTCGTACAGTCGTTACATTTTATTTTGTATACACAGTTCCTAGTCCTATCAACCGGAAGGCGATCCTTCAAATGCACCAACACCGAGCGTAAAGTTTTCCCCTTCTGGAAAGCTACTCTAATGTTAGCCGTATTCAGTACCCTTCTAATGACTTCAGATGTCCCTGTTTTGTATGGAATGACCGCTGTTCCGATCCACTCCTTGTTGGGCCTTGGTGTTGGCACCAATACCCGTCTTAGTTGCCGCTTAATTAAACCCACTGGGTATCCGCTATCTTGAAGTCGCTTTTTTACCTCAAGTTGTGCTGCTCTTCGGTCGACCTCCTCTGTACACAGTGCTCTCACTCTCCTAAACATCGCTGAGGCTATGCTAGCATATACTGCTTTTGGATGTGCAGAGGAGTAGTCTAAGACCGCACCACTATCTGTTGATTTCCGGTATACAGTGGTTTTTAATTTCCCACCACTCTTGTGTGTCATGCAGTCAAGGAAAGCTAGTGTACCCGATGTGGACTCTAGCTCCATGCTAAACTTAATGTGAGGGTCCAATGTGTTCAGATGTTGAAAGAATTCGTTCACCTTATCCCGCTTTATTACAACGAACGTGTCATCTACGTAACGCCAGAACACCCTTGGTGGACACTCGAATCCGTTTAAAGCTTTCTGTTCGAAGTCTTCCATGTACATGTTGGCCAAAATCGGGGATATTGGTGATCCCATCGCTAAACCTTGTTCTTGAGAGTATATAATTGAGTCAAAAACAAATTGACTGAGGTTTAGGCATACCTTTATGCCTTCAACTATCTCGTCTACGGAGAGTTGCGTTCGTTCTTGCAGCGTTGTGTCTGCCAGTAAAAGTCTTCTCGCTACTTCCACAGCGTCCGCTTTAGGGACGTTGGTATACATCGAATTGACGTCAAAACTAGCCAGGACTTCGTCTGGCTCTATCTGAAACCCAGCTACTTTTTTGGCAAAGTCATACGAATCTTGGATGTGTGTCGGTGACTTGCCGGCAAGTGGTTTAAGGATACCTGCTAGATATCTGGCCAGCTCATGTGGTGGTGAACCTATGCCATCCACTATTGGTCTTATGGGGACACCTTCCTTGTGAATCTTCGGTAACCCGTACAGTCGTGGTTGGATTGCACTTTTTGGGTACAATCGATACCACTTGCCTTGCCCCAGATGGTTTATCACAGATCTTAGATACCTCCCAACTTCAACTTTACTCTTACTCATAATTGACGTGATCTTTCCGTTACTAATTTGTCGGTAGGGACCATCAGCTATGTGTTGTCTAACTTTATGAAGATAGTCACTCTTATTCATGACGACCGTGGCCTTACCTTTATCTGCCTTTGTAATTACTATGCTGTCTACATTTTTTAACGTGTTTAAGGCCCTTCGCTCAGCTGGTGCAATGTTTGGAACCCCTGGTTGCTGGGACTTCAGGACTGTGACCAACTGTACACGTAATTTTTCCGCTTCCATTGAAGGAAGCTTCTGGAATACAGACTCAACACTAGGGATGATCTCTTCTGCCCTTATAACGCCTTTACTTACTGCAAAATTCAATCCTTTCTCTAACAGACAACGTTCCTCTTCACTTAAGGGTCTATCTGATAAATTGACTACGCTACAATAGCTAGTGGATGACTTACTGTTCTCTGCTGTGTTACTAGAACCGCGAGTGGTAGAAAGCAATTTCTCGAACTTCCGTATTTGTCCGTCCTTGCATTGTTTACCTTGAGCTGATTTCACTTCCTTCGCTTTGGTATCTAGTAATTCGAATTCAGCAGGCGAGAGTGCGGACTGAAGATCATGGTTGAGACGACATGCGCGGTGGCGGATATCAGTTAAACGTTGGGTGGTTAAATGGATCCTCTGTTTGAGGAATGACTTGGCCGCTGAAGAAGCAATTCGAGCAGAAGCGGGGGACGCATCTGGTGGCTTAACAACCAGAGATTTGGGAATTATGTTGTGCTTCATGCATCTAATGCTGAAAATGCGATGGTTCTCCCAGTTTGCCTCCAATCTCGCCAACCGAACATATTCACTTGACAGCTTGCGAACACATGGTCCGTAGATGTTTTCAATCAATTGGAAAATGTTTGGGACCGATTGGGAAGTCATCGTTTCAGAGGGGTTTGGTAAACACAGGTGAACGAAATCTGTGAACGACCCCAAGAGGAATTTTCCATTAAGGTGTCCTAGACTGAAGAAGCAGGGGCGGAAAAATCCGGGTTCATCATAAAGACGAACCCCCCCTAACCGATCTATCGTAAAGCTTAGTCATCGCACTAATCAACAAACAGGGACATCAGACTGAACACCCAGCACTGATCACGTCACTAGTCATAAGGAATCTCACGGATTGGTTCCCTGACTGCCTTAAAACCCAATCAACCTACTTACTTACTCACTTGCCCTGACGAAGCTTTTGTGTCAAAAGCGAAACGTTGCCCAGCAATAAATCCACCGATTGTTTGCCAAACCCCTGTGCAAAGATGAATTCTTTATAAATCCACCGATTGTTTGCCAAACCCCTGTGAAAAGAATGAATTCTTTGCTTTCGTTACGAACTTTAGCTAGTTAGGTTATTTTTGGAAAACTGTTTCGCGTTCGGGGATGTAAAACGAACTAGGTGGACCAGCCTTTGTTATTCGGTTTCTTTTACTGTGTGTATCAATATGTAATCGGTGTCTCATTTGAGGAAACTACTCACACGTTTGCTGAAATCTCTTCGTCAGCCCACGACCGGTTTTGCCCTTCTTGGGACTCATCAGGTAGGCGTGGTCCCACGATTTTCCGTCAACCTTATGTTCATTTAGCTCTCTTTGTTTAGGTGTGTGGGTTGGTGTACAATTCTGAGTGATATCCAATAAATAAAAGTTTTTTTAATCATAATGACGGAAAGTCAGTTGAATTTACCTATCCCATCAATAAGAAATGTGACCGCATCAGTCTTCTGACGTGTTTCTGAATAGGCTACCACATTAGGGAAATAGGGACCAAGTAATGAATTTCATCAAAACAATTTTTTGGTATGTAGTCCAATAATGATGACCGCATAAGGATAAAAAGAGAAAGAAAAATTTAGATAACCGGGAACAGACAGCCACATTGTGCAGTCGGAACGAAATAGCCTTCCTTAAAAGGCCTGATAGAACTGTGTATCCCCTATGGGCTATCTGTTTTTTTGCAAGGATCAATACAACGGTGAATAAGCGCCTTTATTTCTTGTTCTACTTTTCTTGCCTGCGTCTCTCATTTTACCAGCCCCCGTCGTGCCCACCATCACAGTAATGGGAAAACCAACAAACCCTTTGACGTATTTCGTCAGCAGCATCAGACGATACCCAACGTTGGATGCTAGCATTTTTTCTACTCTGTTTAGCCGACAGACGCTAAATGTATAGACTGTGTGTTGAAAATAATAGGCAACCAAAAGCTGAGCGAATTCATGTGAATAAAACCATGGAAGGCAAATGTTTCGCTCAATAAAATTCTGGGCGCATAATCCTGATTGACGAGTTACGAGGGGCAGTATTTCACTAATTAACACCAGCTTATGGTTCCGGTCCTAACACACAACACACAGGGCTTTAGAATACGTCTAGTGACTTGTTCGATGTAGGGGCCTGGTAGCGATCATGACCATTAGAAGTCATGTACGCTCCTGCAGTAATAAAATTCTGGGCGCATAATCCTGATTGACGAGTTACGAGGGGCAGTATTTCACTAATTAACACCAGCTTATGGTTCCGGTCACAGGCTAACACACACAGGGCTTTAGAATACGTCTAGTGACTTGTTCGATGTAGGGGCCTGGTAGCGATCATGACCATTAGAAGTCATGTACGCTCCTGCAGTTTACCACATTGTGTTCGGCAGCGAGTTCCGCTAGATGTCGGGCTGTTATGCCGATCGAGTTCAGATTACATAATGGGCCAAATAGATGACAGATATGTTTGATGAGACCCAGCTGAATCTCTCGTTTATGATATTCTACAACTGAATGTGCCACACACAGGCCGCCCCATGATTCAGTCGGCACGATATTCGAGATATCGCAGTATATTTTCATGAAGTCTACTCAGGAGTCTACTCACAAGGTTGCTGAAAACTCTTCGACAGCAAAATTGATTTTCAAATAAATGTATTTCTCGAAAACAGTTTAAATTTGGGTTCAAGCAGAACACAAGGTTGACGGGAACTCGGGGAATGCGCCTACCTGATGAGCCTCAAGAAGGGCGAAACCGGTCGTGAGCTGTGAGAGAGTTGTCAGCCACCTTGTGAGTAGTTTCCTTTAAGCCGAATTTAGCTCCTGCTGGGCGTCAGAGGCCAAATGATCATCCTTGTATAATATGATAGATTGGTCTCTTTTCCACTTTCTGAATTGCCATGAGATAAAAGTCTCCTTGAAAAAGTGTTCTTCCTCGACAAGAAACAATTTATAGTGCTGATGCAATCCCCTGATTACTGATTCCGTCCTGTTTGGGGCATATCAGATAAATCCAATTCCGGAAATGCCATCAACCCTACTCTTTACTAAACATAAAATCGTAGAATTGGACGGACATTTTCAAATCAAGATAATGCCAAAGGGAGACTCGTCCAAAACGAAAATCCGTGCGATCTTTGTACAGCCCATTCGGATGAAGGACATTATAACCGATATATTTGAGTCAGGTTTTTGTCCGCACCAGGTTAAACTACAAACTCGCGTTTATTCCAAAAACTCTTTGTCTTATTCTAGTTAATCTGAAGTTCACATTTTCTCTACTCTAGTGAATAAGGT